CTGAATGGTTCTAAATTCTCGCGAGATTCGTAGGTTGAATATTAAGTCGTTTTCTAATCGACGTTGTCTTGGGCGTTGTTGCCGTTGCTGCTTAAACTGGTTTTTGCTACTTGGGCAGCGAGCGTCTTCCTCTTCTTTCGATCATCTGTTTGTTCGGTTGCCAAGCTTGTGTTTGGGCGTTTGTTTGCTTTTCACTCGTTTGTCTAAACATTTCTCTACCGTTCATTCAGTTGTTATTGTTTGTGCAAGGGACATCCGCCTCTTATTTAAACTCCTAGTAAAGTTTCGAAATGTATTAAAACATACCGAGAACCGAAGCTCCCTTGCTTGTAATCAAAATATCCGAAAGAAGACATCCCCACAGCGTTGGAGGCTTTCCTTTGCTTTGAAACGAAACGAAGCGAAACGACGTACATATACATAAACAGATCCTCCACGAAAACTTCTACGCAACGCGCTAGTAATACTCGGAAGAACTGGGTACAATGTCTAAAAATAACTTAAGAGGGATAACCTTGGATATAAGACCTATATGGGGCATTCATTCTCTTACCTTGATAATCTCTTGGTAAAAGTCTATTCCGCTGTTCTACACAAAAACCCTCCCAAAGTCTTAGGTAAACCTAAATTCTTTCCTCCAGTCATTGCCTCCAAATTATGACCGCACAACTTTTACAGTTCACTTTGCCGACCTCGTACTTTTCACAACAGTAGACCTTTTCCTTAATCAACCTGTAAGGTAGAAAAATTGCCCTTGCAAAGCATACACAAACATTGTACCTAGATGAACACGATGAGGTGAATTGGGCCCGAAATACTTCCATTAACCTACAAATTTCTACTCTTAAAGTCGAAGAAAAATGGGAGCCTTCCGAAAATACGCACGTTTTTGAAAATTCTAACTTTCATTGACTTTCAGGCCTGAATATGTACTTGCTAGAACCTTTATAGATCTCCAAAGAAAACGAACTGCATGAATTGAAGAGTTAAGANCAACCTGTAAGGTAGAAAAATTGCCCTTGCAAAGCATACACAAACATTGTACCTAGATGAACACGATGAGGTAAATTGGGCCAGAAACACTTCCATTAACCTACAAATTTCTTCTCTGAAAATCGAAGAAAAATGGGAGCCTCCCCAAAATACGCACGTTTTTGAAAATTCTAACTTTCATTGACTTTCAGGCCTAAATATGTACTTGCTAGAACCTTTATAGATCTCCAAAGAAAACGAACTGCATGAATTGAAGAGTTAAGAAATAATCAAAACCCCAGTACTATTCAACTGTAGTAAATATGTATGCATTGAAACACACCGTAAAATGTGAAAAATTAACTAAATTCCCGATCGGAAAAGTGGCCCAGCCTGGATTCCGAAAAGCATACAACTGCTGCGACGAAGCAAAGTTTTCAAAACAATTTGTTTAAAGGACGATAACTTTTAAGTATGACGTGTTTCGCGCTAGGTGACATAAAAACAAAATGTCCTCCACTGATCTACATCAGCCATCTTGGATTTCAGTTTTTTTGTTGTTAAAAAAAGTCAAAAATCTGCAAAACTTAATTTCAATAATTTGGAAACAAAATACTCAAAATACATGAATTGTTGGAAAGTTCTAGATTTTGTTTAACCTGAAAACTAAACCAAAATTAAATCTAAGCTCAGAGACAAAAT